CCCCCGGGGGGGGTGATTTCTCGCTTTCTGTCCCTCTGTCTCTGTCTTTCTGGCGAGCGCACGTGTCTGATAACAAAAACCTCTCCCCACAAAAAAAAATTATTTAATTTTTTATTTGTCATGATCGTTTTTCTTTCATTTGCTAAAGGACATGCATACTCACTGGAGAGAAGAAGAGAGAGAGAGAGAGGAAGTAACATCCTTAACTGCCACAACCCTGTGGCCCCATCACTGCTATTTTGATGTTGCTACCATGTGAATGTATTCTATGATTTAAAAAAAAAAAATCCAACCGTGAGAAAAACACAAGGTCAGACAGCAACACAAAGGCAGTGCGGATGGACCCACAGGGGTGGGCCTGGCTGTATCCCAAGGTCCCCCTCTACACTCCGGGCGTACATGCGTGCACCTGTGATCCAGGTAGGCTGATGCCAGAGTAGGCTGTGGAGTGAGGAACCTGTTGGGGGTGCCTCTCTGTCTGTCTTGTGGAAAAATACACACATTAATAAACTTAAAAAAAAAAAAAAAAGGGAGGGCCAGCAGGTGGTATGGAGGCTAAGGTGCTGGATTCCTCATGGCTGACTGCGTGGTTTGAGTCCTGGACTGGCGGCTTAAAAATTACAATGGACAGGGCTGGCAGGTGGCATGGTAGTTAAGAGTGCTGGAATCCCACATAGCTGACCGTGGTTCAAGTCTTGGACCTGGTTGCTTGCTTTCTCATTGCCCCTCCCCCTCACTCTGTCCCTCTCTGTTCAAGTTCAAAAAAATAAATAAATAGGGACCAGCAGTTGGCGTAATGTTTCTGGACTCCCATGTAGTCAACTGCGATTCAAGTACTGGACCTAGTGGCTTAAACTCATACCAGGCATGTGTACACCCAAGATCCTGACAGGAGAATAGAGGAGAAGGGATTGCGGTGTGGCCATCTGAGAGGTGATTTCTCGCTTTCTGTTTCTCTGTCCTTTTGGCAAGCGCACGTGCCCTATAGCAAAAACCTCTCCAAAATAAATACATACATAAATAAAACAAATAAAGCTAAATAAAATAATTCTTTTTTCTTTTTTTGAGAAATTTTTGCTATAGAGCACGTGTGCTCACCAGACAGACAGAGAGACATAGAGACAGAAAGCGAGAAATCACCCCCCAGGGGGGATGGCCACGCCGCAATCCCTTCTCCTCCATTCTCCTCTCGGGATCTTGGGCACGCATGCACACGCGCCTGGCGTGAGTTTTAAGCCACCGGGTCCGGGACACGAACTGCGGTCGACTACGTGGGAGTCCAGCGACATAGCCATTACGCTAACTGCTGGTTCCCCAATAAAATAATTCTTTAAAAAAAAAATTCACAATGGCGTGTGGGTGCATGAGCCGGCATGTGTGCCCCAAATCCCAAGAGGATAACAGAAGAGATGCGATTGTGGTACACCCATCTTCTCTGGCGGGTAATTTCTCTCTCTCTTTCTCTCTCTCTCTGGTGAGCACAAGTGCCCTATAGCAAAAATTAAAAAAAAAAAAGAAAAAAAGCACTAAAAAGTGAATTATATAGAATATACATACACTTAAGTGTATATAAAGTTGATAACATAACCACCGGAATTATTTCAAATCAAAACCCGGGCGTTCTGACTGTATATCTCCAAAAAACCCCAACTCCATGCCATTGGCTTATTACTGGTAACAATATTAGTCTTGCTATTTTGAAATCATTAAATCTATACTATAGAATAAATCAGAAGATGTAATTATGTTAACATCTTTAGGAATCAGGCATTTGAGCGTAAGAGAAAGAGACGCAAATACAAAACCATGGAAGTTAAATAAAACCTGGTACCTTACTGTTGAACTGGCAAAACCAATACGGATTTATAATTGAGTTTTCTTTCTAAATGTGTTCTTTGTTGGCTCTGATGTAGTATAGGTTCTAAGGAAAGGGCAGCCCAGGGGCAATGAACGCTCGTCCAGACTGTGGCCTCTGGACACCATTTCCACTCCCAGGAGCCAGGCTCCATTGAAAAATGGCTGTTGCCAGTACTGGAGCAAGACGTGGCCAGGAGGAGTCTGGGATACCCTCCTCTGTCAGGGCAAGGGAGCTGTCAAACACTCTTGTTATCTGAAGAGGTTTCCACTGGGTCAAAGTGAAAATCTGAAGATGCCTTAAATTTGAAATTATCCCAAAGGTAACTCAAGACTTAATGTATCCCCAAGAAGAGCAAATGGACGGAACTGGGACAATAAACTCCCGAGTTCATAATGATTCTAAGAAACACGGGAACCAGCAGTTAGCATAATGGCTATGTCGCTGGACTCCCACGTAGTCGACCGCGGTTCGCGTCTCGGACCCGGTGGCTTAAATCTCACGCCGGGCGCGTGTGCGTGCGTGCCCAAGATCCCGAGAGGAGAATGGAGGAGAAGGGATTGCGGCGTGACCATCCCCCCCTGGGGGGTGATTTCTCGCTTTCTGTCTCTATGTCTCTCTCTGTCTGTCTGGCGAGCGCACGCGCCCTATAGCGAAAACCTCTCCCAAAAAAAAAAAAAAAAACAGGAATGAGGTGGCCAGTCTTGGAGGTTGCTGGAGCATCAACTCATTAGTCCGAGGACTGCAGAATGGAAGGAAAAGAACCAAGACTTTGCCTATTCAACTATTCCATTTTTTCCAGGGAAATCAAGTAATTAATGGCAAGTTCTAGTTTTTTGAAAAAAAAAAAAAAAATTTTTGTAGAATTCCTGCTAACAAATGCTAACAGAATGCTAGAATTTAGAGACTATTATTCTGTAATTCCTAATGAAACAGTGGATGTAGATAATGATCACTAATTGCTGGTAAAATTAAGAGGTGAAATGTTAATAGTACTCTTTATAATGAGCAAGCTAACAACACCTGAACCCAATAAGCAATTATTATTATTATTTTTTTGGCCATAGGCACTTGTGCTCACCAGTGAGACAGAGAGAGAGGCAGGGAGGAGAAATCCCCCAATGAGGTGTAGTCGTGCTGCAATCCCTTCTCCTCCATCTTTCCAACCCGTTGGGAGTTTGGGCATGCACGCACGTGTGCCAACATTGTTTTTAAAGCTGCTGGGGGCAGGATTTGAACTGCTTTTCAACCAGGTGGAATCTGGCTCCACTAACCACTAGACTACCAGGCCAGCTTGACAATGAAAAAATTTAAAAAGCAGAACAACCTGACATGAAGTGCCTCTTTTTTTTGTGAGAGGTTTTTGCTATAGTGCGTGTGCGCTTGCCAGACAGACAGAAAGAGACAGAGAGATAGAGAGCGAGAAATCACCCCCCAGGGGGGATGGCCACGCTGCAATCCCTTCTCCTCCATTCTCCTCTTGAGATCTTGGGAACACGTGCACACGCGCCCAGTGTGAGTTCAAGTCACCGAGTCCAGGACTCGAACCGCGGTCGGCTACATGGGAGTTCAGTGACATATCCATTATGCTAACTGCTAGTCCTATGAAGTACCTCTTGATAGGGTACCATAGTAAGTACATAAAGCCACCTATGATGTATCTTTGCAAAAAAAAAAAAAAGGAAGTTGAATCCAATCAGGTAGCAGAGATCTCATTCTTTCTTTAAAGAATATAGGGTAGCCAGAAAAACGTATTAAATGTCAACATAAAGTAGCAATTACCCATTTATAACATAAGAAATTTCTACAAGACAACCAGGGTTTAGAAGAGAAACGGCAGGCCAGCAGATAGCGTGCAGGCTGGGGTGCCTAGATCCACACGGCCAACTGCATGGTTTGAGTCCTGGGCCCAGGGCTGGGACTGTGGCATGGCCATCCCCCATGGGGGTGATTTCTCACCTTCCCTCTCTTTCTCTGTCTCTCTTCAGCAAGTGCAAGTGCCCTGTAGCAAAACTAAAAAAAGAGAGAAGGAAGAAAACTTAAAGATTAAAAAAAAAAAAAAGAAGGAAAAAGGGGAGGGAGAAAAAAGAACTGTTAAAGATTATAATAATTCAGAAACACATTAACCAAAGTGACACAGCCAAACCTTGTCTGGAACTTAGTTCAAGCAACCCAAGTGTAGGAAAGCATTTCGAGGTGCTGGAGCAACTTGAATATAGTCTGGCTATGAGATAATGGGGGGGACTATTTGTTTTATCAGATGTGATCATAGAATCGTGAGTATATTAAAAAGCAACCCTTGTCTCTTAGAGACACATTACCAAATGCATTATGCTGAATTTGACTTACTCATTGAAAGGAGCATTTAGATAGAATACATCTGGAGTGTTTATTCAAATAATGATTACACACTAATTGAATCTAACTGGCATTTTTTTCTTTCTCTGGTTATAAATGGAGCCACAGAGTTCTGGACTCAAGGCAAGGATCTTTGCAGGCCTGCGCTGAGTCTGAGAGGCCGGTGCCGGAGAGGAAGCATCTTCTCCCAGGAAACGGGCCTGGGCTGAGGGCCCCCACTGCCACTGCCAAGGCCTCGCTGTCACCCACGGGCTGGCTGAGCTCGCTCCCCTGAAGATGCTGGGGGGAGGAGGCCGTCCCCCACTTGCTCTGACAGCCGTGCTGCCCCTGGTGAGCAGGAACCGCAAGCGGCCAGCTCCAGGGGTGTATGGGAAGATGCTCCCGCTGCGTGCTTCTCAGATATCATCATGAGGTGGCAAAGCCCGGAAGAGTCTCATTCATTCTTGTTTAAGAACTACTTCTGAGGGACCAGCAGGTGGTGTGGTGGTTAAGGTGCTGGACACTCCCACATAGCCGACTGGGGTTCAAGTCCTGAATCTGGTGGCTTGCTTTCTCACTTCCTCTCTCTCACTCTCACCCTCTATCTCTCTCTGGTCAAATTAAAAAATAAATGAATGAATAAATAAAATAAAATAATTATTAAAAAAAAAAGAGAAAGAAATACTTCTGAGAGAGAGGTTGGCCAGGCCTCCTGAGTTTCCTGCGGTCATGAAGTCCTGGGCGGTGGTCAGCCTCGCAGGGATAATGGCTGACAGACCCCCTCTCAGGAGTGATACGGAACACGCTAATACAAAGACCCGGGCTAACTGAACCCTTCCAAGCACTTAGCCCGAACACTGTGCTGAGTGTTTTCAGGGATCTCCACATGAAATGCTTCAGCAACCCTGTGAGATCAGCCACTGAGGTGGACAGACGAGGCAGCTGAGGCTTTGTGAGACTGAATAATGTGGTCAGGGGACCAGCAGTCGGCATAATAGCTATGTTGCTGGACTCCTATGTGGTCGACCGCGGTTCGAGTCCCGGACCTGGTGGCTTAAACTCACTCCGGGTGTGTGTGCGTGTGTGCCCAAGATCCCGAGAGGAGAATGGAGAAGGGATTGCGGTGTGGCTATCCCCCCGGGGGGTGATTTCTCGCTTTCTGTCTCTCTTTCTGGTGAGCAC